TCACTAAATGGCAGGCAACAAGTGTTTTCATTTTTTTAAAGTCAAACTGCATGAGTAGGATTTGTATTTCCTGTCAATATGTAACATAACAATACAATAACATTTTATCTGTACTAGCACTCTATTTAATGGGACATGAATTTTTATCAGTCTTATCGTCTTATCAGTAGTGACATAGTACTCACATCTTTTATTAGGTAAAACATAACCCATTACAAATGAAAGCAAAAATGTAGGAGTATTATCAGTTAAATCTACTCAGTGTAGTAAAAGTAAAAGTCAGTGTTTTGCAGACAACAGGTCCCTGTGACTGATCTATGTTTCCTACAGGTGGTGGAGCTACTTTTAATTACTTTATTTACAAACTAATGGCCTAGGTTCAGGACTCTTCACAAAAGGTCAAGATAAATCTGCAGGGTCATGATGGGTTGTGGGGATAGGAGCAAAGAAAAACAATTGTAATGGGATGCTAATAATGTACAGTTTGCAGCATACAGTCAGTGCATATTACAGTTAGAGCAGCCTTTAGTCGTAGAACCTTTGGTTCAGGTTCTATCCTAGACTTTATGTTGTTGATAGTTTGGCTTTCATTTCATTTTGTTTCTTTCCTACCATTTTGGGTATTTTATCTCTTCTGTTTTGTAATTTGTGATTTATTTATTTTTAGGCAAAGTTGGACAGGAGGATAGCCTACTGTATGTATTTCACTCATTAGCTGTGTATGGTGGAAAGCTGTCCACTCCGACCGGAACAATAGGTGGCAGTAACATCGAAGTGTGATCAAAACAGGGAAGAAGAAATGCGCGCTGTCGTGACTCACTTCCGCTGAGCTACTGGCGCTAACAACAGGTTAATCCAGTAAGGTTAGCTGAAAGGGACGGCGTGAATTCTACTGCTGATATTTTTGTCGAATTGCAACTAAAAGCCAGGTGACATAAGTTATATTTCTTTAACATATCTGTTAGTTTTTCACGTTTTATATCTTGTAATGTTGGTTAATATCCTATTTGGGTTACAAGGTTACATTATTTTTAACCGTATTGTCGTGACAAATGCTAAATTTGTTAGCTATCGTGGTCTCTGCTAGTTAGCATAGTCTAGCTAACGTATGCAGGATTATATGCGCGGTCGGGAAACCTGGCTATTTAATGTTTAGTCGATAACGTGGACAGAAAGAATTACCTAATGTCGATACCGTGTAGATGGTGTAATCTTTACGTTCATCTTATCAAAATAAGGTACATTACTGGGTCACTATTAAGCACACGCTAACGAAACCTATCAGGGTTTGGTTCCTGACGTGCGTTAACGTGCTAATGTGGCGCTAACGTTAGCATCTCAGTAAAATGATGTAACATACACTCAGTTTCTAGGTCAATACACGTAGTTAACTGGTGCGGTCTAGGACAATAGCCCGGGAATAAATCCCATTTTCATGAAGATTAGAATGTTCGGTTTTTGTTTAAACCTTTTTAGAGCTTTGCTTATTCAATATTATCACTTTGGAGGCTGTGTTGCTGTTGATTGCAACTTTTTAGTAATAACGTTATATCGAGATGTGCTTTTATTTTTGAGCCCACCCACACTCTTGTAAACGAGCTGGGTAAACCAAGAGAGCTACATTTCACAATAAATATAGTTAATCTGCAACTTTTCAACTTTTTAAGTTAACACAAAAGCTGTGCATTATAACCTTCATGAAGGGCGATGTTATCGAAGGGCGCACTATTTCATGAATGGTCTTGTGTTTTGAGGAGAATGTAGTGCAGAGTCTAAACTAAATGTGGAAAAGTATTAAGGGTTCTCATAGTCAGGCTGTTAACGTATAACCAAACACTGGGGTTTTCAAAATGTAATCAGAGCTCAGGTATGTGGTTCTAACAATTTTACTGTCTGTCTTTACTTTCAGGTGCATCTTGTCTGTAGGACTCTCAACAGGAAGATTTGTGCAAATGGGAGGTATGATAACTTTTTTGTTCAGAGTTACTCATATTACTTTTTTTGGTTCAGGAAGCCTAATCAAGGACCACACTCTTAAGGTGTATGTCCTAATCAGCATGAAAGCACCTCATATTGTTTTCTGAAATTAACATTTATTTTCATTATTGAGTCAGCTGCCCTTTTTTCATGATGATTACATTTTTATTCAAGAAAACATAAAAATTGTGAAAAAAAAAATCCTGGTTAAATCTCATTTTGTCCATCTAATGTCCAAGTTCCAAAAATAATCAATATACTGTAATTTTGAAGCAAGGTAAAGCATCACATTTTCCTGTTTAAGAGGCTGAGGCCATGACATTATTAAAGCTCTAAAGCAAATCAGAAGTTGCTTTTTGTCCTTTTATGTGAGGTGGCCCACCTCTTCTTGGTAAACTATGCAAGACAGACATGATTCATAGTATTTGCAGTATTAATACAAACACAGCAGGCCCGCCATGTAGTGACTCACTTGAATAAACATAAGTAAAAAAATTGGTGACAGATATAAATTACTGTAGCTTTCTACACAAATAATGCACTAGTATTTTGCAAGTCAGGTGTGTGTTGCCTGCTTTGTAGCAATATGCATTTACAAGTAACCACTGTGTATATTTAATATTTGTTATATTTAAACTTTTGCAGTGTTTTTTGTGGTTATATGTGACTACATCATTAATGTTGGCTGTGAGGAGTACTTGGCAGCACCAGTAGCTCTTATTATAAATGTAGCTTATCCTAAATGGGAGTTGCACAATATGAATAAAGTCTTATGTGACACTGTCTAATTTGTTATTGGAATATGAATTTATTTTGATTTGATTTGATTTGATTTATTCTTTCAAGCATGTAAAGACAGTTGATATGTCAACACACATAATTTTACACATATCCAACAAATGCTAATCCAATATCAATTTGCTTATACCTAGTACATGCTTGAATGGAGTAGGAAGAAATCAGACTTATCCAGTCCTACCCCATGACATCATCTTACATCATTGGTTTGCAAGCAGTATCTCTACATAAATAATTCTCTTCTACACCACACAAGTAATATACTAAAAAAATATAACAGTGTTAACATTCTTACATAATTACAT